GTGATATTGCTTTGCTATTACTCACTCACTCACTCAGTTAATTTCAATGATTTGTCCAAACTCGTCTAAAAAATATACTTTATTTATCTGTACATGGATATTCCTTCCTGTGAAATGTGAGAAGCATTACTACGGGATAACAGATACCCAACATTTTATGAATATAACGGTTTACTTAAACATTACAACTGAACAACAAACAACACAATATCTATGTTTAAAACACATTTGTGTTCTAGATCTAACTTGTAGACAAAATTTGAAATATTCAAATTCTTCAACAGTTCCTCAACAACCTCTCTTGTGCCGCCAGACGTTTTATTTAACTATTACATAGAGAATGAAATTGGGTATAGGAATATGTCCTTGGTGGTTTGGCCCTCACTCAACAAAAAGTTATACTCCAATGAACAAATACAATGAAATGCAAACATCGTGTGATATATCTATTTCAGCAGGGGGGTGTTTCACCGAGTGTAGCTGACTAGTTCGTGTTTAATAGTATTGTTATACCTCGCGTTATGCACTGGGTTATGTCAACCTTGCCATGGCAGAGTACATGCATTAAAATATTTAAGAGGCATATATTTGTGAACAGATAATAATAACATTATAATATTTATTTAACATGGAGAGTGTTGGTTGAATTATCAAGATATTTTAAATCCAGAACAACTTATGTGTTAAATTGATTTTCTGCAGTCTATCTTCGCCACTTTAAACAATGTTGATTTATTGTGGGTTTTCAACATATATACTGTCAACAAAGTGTGTGGGAATCTTGAAAATGAGAATCTAGGAAAACAACTGAAAAATTACAGTTATTGGCCCCTGTGAGGAGCTGGTTGTGGCTGTGATATAAAGTGGTAATTGAGAATATCCTGCCCATAGCACAAAGCTAGCTCATCAACAAAACCAGTCTGGCTCTGTCACCATACCCTACCAAAACCCCGTCTTCAGATTTCCTGACTCGTCTTGAACAAAGATAGCACAGTTATAATCTTTTCCAGTAGCATAACGACCAAGCCCCATACCCGTATATAACGGGGTTCGAATTGGTCTTCAGCAACAAGTTGTCGTAATTAGAGGCGACACAAGTTGGTTGACACATTTAATTGTGTAGGTCAATGCTCATGCTGCTGACTGGATTAACTGGCCCAGTATCTATTTTCACAGACCGCCGCCATCATATAGCTGGAAAATTGCTGAGTGCGACGTTAGACAACAAACACAAATCAAAACCCCATTATAAAGTCAGGGGCACCCTTCAGTGAAAGTCCCAACCCCAGTGGTTGTATATGTCAGTTTCTCTACAATTGTGGCCACCAATACATTGGTGAAACCCTCAGATTCCTTCAATACCAGACTAAAAGAACATCAAATAAACAAACATGACAGGACTTCGCATTCGCCGAAAACATCATTATAAAACAGGACCACACCATCATGTTGGAAGCCAGCAAAGCCTCGTCCACCATCAACAGCTCGCGTCAGGGGAAGCTAAAAGACTCATTAACGTCAGGAGACACCAGCCAGCCATGAACAGTGACCAGAGAACATATCTGCCTTGTTCTTGGAACTTAAAGATTTGATAATCTTTCACACAATTTATCTAGGTTTCCCTCCGAACACTGTAAATTGGCATGGCCCCGATGGGCAAAGCTATGAATACACACAGTGCATTTTAGAAAGTGGTCAAATGTAACGTGTGTTATAATTTGCATTGCACTTTGTTAGTTCAATGGGATGCACACTGCTCAGTTTAGTAAGCAAGTCTCTTGCGTTGCACGGGTTTAACATGCAGGGGAACGGCAAAAAGCCCCATAGGCCAAAAGCCCCTTCGTACAAAAACCCCTCGACCAAAAGCCTCTCTGGACAAAAGCCCCTCGCTAATTTGAGCACACCTGTCAAAAGCCCCTCGATTCCTGTATTTCATAACAAAATACTTGTTTCAAATATTTCATAATAATAATTGACAAACAAACATTTCTCACAGCCAAACTCAGGCTTTCCCAAGGAGAAAATGGGTATATTGCAAAACAAACACATCATAACTATTACACTGGGATCAAGGTATTTTGCAAACAAACATTGTACACAATGCCACCATCAACAATGAGAGCAGGACCAACAACAACTGCGAGACATGGAACAATTCTTCTAGGACTGTAGCAGGACAACCCTATCCATTTCTGTGTTCCCTTGTTCAGGGGGTCCAGCGAGACCAGTCACAGGTTGAAGTGATGTTTATGCAGCAGAGGTTCGCTCCCAGCCAAGCGCCAACAAAAAGCATCGACAGAGACACAACGCCGCCTCAAAAAGCTGTGCTTTGAAAAACAGAACGCTGTCCGTTCTTCTGAGGACTTACGCCACAAAATTTGGTTGTGTTGATTTGTTTATTTTTCATGTCAGAATGATTAGCTCAAGAATTATTATGTCATTTCATTTATAATTTCTTGTTGATTTGTTTTCATTTGTTTGATGATATATATTTCTTTTTCTCTAAAACATATTTGCTACATATCAATTTATAAGGTCGTTATATTCTCAAGCAATAAAATGTAACATGTCTATTATCATGTCTTGTCTTTAATCTTATTTTCCAATTAATACGTAAAGTGAGGGACATTTGGTCATTTTTCAAGGGTTTTTGTCTTGAAGAGTTTTTGGTCGAGGGGCTTTTGTCCTGAGGGGCTTTTGGTCGAGGGGCTTTTGTCCTGAGGGGCTTTTGGTCGAGGGGCTTTTGTACCAAGGGGCTTTGGACCTAGACCCAACATGCAGAACCACCTGGGTAGGATGCCCCAGAGGTACATTATAAATAGGATTCATAGATTTGTTCAGTTTCACATCGTGTACTAACACACATAGGGTTAAAAGTGTTTCTCAACGAAAATACTTCCTGCTCGTCATGTGGTGTTTCCGTGCATCAAACACATTGTCCTGCTTGTTAGTATGTATCCAAGGATATGTGTAATGTATCGCAGGATAGGGAAATGATTCGTGCTCCCATAGATATAGTATCATAGAATTATACACCAGCAATGAATCATGCACACAGTTTTAAGTGTGAATTAGCTGAATTTGGATAGAAAAAATGTTGTTACTAATTAACACAAGCCATTTTACTGTTGTCCTAGAGCCCTACTATCTTAGAATACGATAAAACTGTACCGAAAAATACAGAGGTATCTGACACTTTTGTATATTGTTTGAATAATATAACAATATTTCGTGTTTGTCTTTTGGAAAATTTACATACTCCGAAAGGCTTGTAATACAATTTTTGAAAAATACTTAAATGGAATGAAGAATACTAAAATGAAACTGTATTTGTGATTTGCAATTGTTTACTGTTGTCTTATGTGTAATGTCATATATGTAATGTCATATGTTCATTGTAATATGTGTATTGTCGTATGTGTACTGTCGTATGTGTATTATAATGTGTGTATTGTCCTATGTTTATTGTCATATGTGTATTGTTATATGTGTATTGTCGTATTAGGTGTATTTTCATATGTGTATTGTCATATGTGTATTGTTTTATGTGTATTGTTATATGTGTATTGTCGTTTTAGGTGTATTGTCCTATGTGTATTGTCATACATGTATTGTCATATTTGTATTGTCATACATGTATTGTCATATGTGTTAGTTATTTGTGTATTGTCATATGTGTATTGTTATATGTGTATTGTCGTTTTAGGTGTATTTAAGTGATAACGAACTTGTTCCAGCCTGGTGCAGTCCACTATTGCCTACAAGGAATAATAGCTGTGGTCAGGTTCGCAGACTTTGTTGACACGTGTTACAATAACCTGGCTGTGTATCTTCTACTGAACCATGAGCCTGGAGGTTAGGTCTACTAATGTGGTCCCGTTAGTCGCCTCATACGTCAAGCATGGGTTGATGAAGCCCAACTCTACCCTGGATTTTCACGGGTTGCTATGTTGCAAACAATACTTGGTAATTCATTTAAGATGCCGTATTTTCGCTACAAGATAATCATACATACCTAAGGCTTTCTCGCTGACATTTCTAATACGTCAAATTGTTTTTCCTTAAGTACAAGTGATCAATATAGATATCACGTCTCGCAACCATTGAGTCACTTCATACCCTGGTGAAGGATTTAGCAAGTATATAACGTTGTGTCTTTATTATGAAGAAGTTGACATTCACAAATGTTCTCCCTGATGTATATATATAAATACTGTAGATAAAAACAACCGACAAGTCGCTTTTTTGTATTATTTAAACAATAGCACGGCGGTGGACAGTTTGTTTCACACATTGGACCCATGTGGGGAATCGAACCCGGGTCTTTGGCGTGACGAAAGAACGCTTTAACCACTAGGGTTCCCATCCGCCACTGGCATGATACAAGACTAAAGAGTTTTGGCGAGACTTGTTTTTTTTATATATATTTCTTTTGATGCCCAGGTGTTCCGCTCACAGCAAACAACTAAGATTATTGTCTAAAATCTAATACTAAAAAACCAAGTCCAAATATTCCCGAGTGACAAGTTTTCAGTTTTGCTCAGTATAATTAAATCTGACCGTCCAACCACTGTCAGAAAGCAGTACCGTTACGAGCAAATACTGAGCAGCAATTGCCATACAATGGCCTGAGCGTTTCAAAAATAATAATCAGTATTTTGCTGAATTAAATATTTCCTTCTACAGATATATGTAATAAGTGACTACATTTTATCTATGTTGTCTATTTGCATTGTGTATTCATAAACAAACCGATAATAGGGACTACATTTTATCTATGTTGTCTATTTGAATTGTGTATTCATAAACAAACAGATAATGTGGCATTACATTTCCTCAGCATTGTGTGTTTGTATTGTGTATTTATAAACAAACAACCTGGTAGTTATATGAGCAATGGACTTTCCGAGATTAAAAAAATTGAATATGGATGGTTTCATAATTCATACGCTTATAAATACCTTTCCTTGAATGACGATGCAAACTTAACCCGAACTCACCTTTCAAAACACTGAGTTGTCCTTTCCGATTTGGTAAAGTAAATTGTTACAGACGTTGCTCACGGTGCTGTACTGTGTTGTCACTGTCGCAACACAGCGACGCAGGATCATCATACACAGGTAGATGTTGCCTCCTCCACCAGCACGGCTGTCGTCGGCGTTGCTGGGTCACGTGATATATTCCGGTGAGAATTCTTTGACGAATCAAGAGGCGTGTTTTGTGTGACGTTTGTTAACCCTTAGTGTGTCGCGACAATAAATTGTATGTCCACCTTCGGCAGGGGCGGGTCAGTAACTGTAACATGGGAAATAAGAACAAACGACCTGTTCTAATTGATAGAATCACGTGGTTTACAGTCATACAACATTTTATAAATTGGACAAAGTTTATACTCACAGACTGAAAATAAGTGCTACTTACTGAAAATGTGCAAATATTTTCGAAGCTCTCTTAACGCTAAGATAGTCGTAAGTTAATGTTAATGTATGACCCTTACGACTATCTTAGCGTTAAGAGAGCTTCGAAAATCTAGGCCCAGAAAGATACGCTATTCGGTCTGCCCTGGAATAACACGACTTGGTCCCGAATGATCCTGGATTTGAGGACAGTTAGTTGTTTGTTTGGTTGTTTGTTTCCCGAATGATCCTGGAACAGTGTTTGTTGTTTGTTTTTGTTTGTTTGGTTGGTTGGTTGGTTGGTTGGTTGGTTGGTTGGTTGGTTGGTTGGTTGTTTAACGCCGCACTCACGAATATTACAGCTATATGGCGGCGGTCTGTAAATAATCGAGTCTCGACCAGGCAACCCAGTGATCAGCATCATGAGCATCGATCTAAGCAATTAAGATACGATGACACTTGTCAGCCAAGTCAGTGAGCCTGACCACCCGTTAGTCGCATCTTACAACATGTTTTGGTTGCTGAAGACCAATTCTAACCCGGATATTCATGGGTGATCAATTTGAATGTCTGTCTAACACAATACGGCATGCAAGTGTGGTATTCAATCTATTGAATCAAGTTTAAAGTGATATCCTAATGTGGTAACACTGTTGTATAATAATAATGTACATGTTTGAACGTGTTGCTTATATATATCATAAACTGAAATTGGATTTGGTTTGAATGAGATTTATATTTCAACAAAACGGATGAAAACAATACCTCTGCCGTTGCTGGGGTTATCTTACTTCTATACACACAGAACTTCAGCACCCCCTGACATATGTCACGATTGAATTAGCCCCGATCTTAACCCTTTGGAGCTTATCTGGGACATGATTGGTCGTCGTGTGCAACAAAGGGTTCCTCCTGTACACAACCTGGCCCAACTCGAAGCTGCTTTACACGAGGAATGGCGTAGCCTTCCCCTTCAGAGGATCAGGAGGCTGACAGGGGGTAGGAGGAGAGTGCTGGCTGTTATACAGTCACATGGAGGTTACACGCGGTACAGACCTTCAATTATGTAAGACACGCACAATGACATTCTGAATGTTCACATTCACCAATAAATTCAACATTAAACATTCCAGGGCCATACTTGTACAGACATGGTTTTGTATGGAAATCCGTGGGGATTTTTTAAAACTAGCAATTATCATCATAAAATCAACACGGATTCCAATCATTTTGTCGTTTTTTATGAATCAAGGGATTATACGGTCGTGGTCTCCACGAGAAGTTTTATGTACGTGCTGAAAACCTATCATTGCAAAATTACAGGGGGTGCTTAATTAGGTTCTTGGTGTATAGTATGTCCCGTTGAGTAAAATTATGAGTTGTAATATAATAACCTATTGTGTGTGTCGTAGATCTACAGGCAAACACTGCATTAGTCTTGACTTCCTGGTTTGCTGGGGCTGTATATTCAACTCCTCCTGGTGAGTGAGTGAGTTTAGTTTTACGTCGCCTTTATCAACATTCCAGCAATATCAAGTCGGGGGATACACATTGTACCAATGTGGGGAATCGAACCTGCCGCCCCCAATTCCTCAGGGTGTTTACTTGGGAATTGGTCTTTAGTAAACCATGCTTGTCGTAAGAGGCGACTAACGGGATCGGGTGGTCACGCTCGCAGACTTGGTTGACACATGTCATCGTATCCCAGTTGCATAGATCGATGCTCATGCTGTTGATCACTGGATAATCTGACTTGATCATTTACAGACCGCCGACATATAGCTGGAATATTCGTGAGTGCGGCGTTAAACAACCAATCAATGTATTGTATGACTGTAAACCACGTGATTCTGTCAATCAGGACAGGTCGTGTGTTCTTATTTCTCATGTTACGGTTACTGACCCGCCCCTGCCGAAGGTGGACATACAACTTATTGTCGCGACACACTAAGGGTTAACAAACGTCACACATTGGTCACAGTATCCTCACCGGTACATATCACGTGATCTGGCAACGCCGACGACAGCCGTGCTGGTGGAGCAGGCAACATCTCGGCGTTAAACAACTAATCATCACGGGTAATGATTGATATTTAAAGTGACAGATTGATCACTGATTTCCCTGCATGTGTAATAACGAAACAGAGTTATATCAAGGAATTCCGTCCACCCGTCCTTCCGAGGACATTCTTGTGTCATCTATAACTGGAGAACTGCTGTCTATATGCCTTTCGAACTCTCTGAACTCTTCCTATAGAAATAGGAAAGATGAGTTATTTGGATTTTCTGAAAAATTATTTTTTATTTAGAATTTGTACTTCAACATTTATGCGACCCATATCTTGAAAAGTACTGCATGGATTATTTTTTCACATTTAGAGAACAGTTCTCTTAGTAGTAGAAAAGGCGCACTGTTTGAGTTTGATATGTCTATTTCCTGAAAGGTTGCTGTTTTTTTCTCAGTATTTGTACTTATACGGGGAGGACTCTGGTGTGATTAACTGACATTTCGGTCTTTATGAGTGGTGTATTCCAGAAGCATGCTATTTCACAGATCATGATATAATTACCATCTCTTTTGACATATATACTGAATTAGTTCACTTTTTTGAAGGGGCGGTGAGGTAGCCTTGTGGTTAAAGCGTCCACTCGTTAAGTCAAAGACCCGTATGCGTATTGTCAAATATGTATTGTCGTATGTGTATTGTCGTACGTGTATTGTCGTATGTGTATTGTCGTACGTGTATTGCCGTACGTGTATTGTCGTATGTGTATTGTCGTATGTGTATTGTTGTATGTGTATTGTCATACATGTATTGCTATATGTGTATTGTCATATGTGTATTGTCAAATGTGTATTGTTATATGTGTAGTGTCATATGTGTATTGTTATATGTGTATTGTCATATGTTTATTGTTATATGTGTATTGTCATATGTGTATTGTTATATGTGTGTTGTCATATGTGTATTGTTATATGTGTATTGTTATAGGTGTATTGTCGTTTTAGGTGTATTGTCATATATGTATTGTCCTATGTGTATTGTTATATGTGTATTGTCGTTTTAGGTGTATTGTCATATGTGTAATGTCATATGTGTATTGTAATATGTGTATTGTCGTATGTGTATTGTCCTATGTGTATAGTCGTATGTTTATTGTCATATGTGTATTGTTATATGTGTATTGTCGTATTAGGTGTATTGTCATATGTGTATTGTTATATGTGTATTGTCGTATTAGGTGTATTGTATTAGGTGTATTGTTAATTGTTAATTGTGTATTGTCGTATGTGTACTGTATTGGGTGTATTGTCATATGTGTATTGTCATATGTGCATTGTCATATGTGTATGGTTATATGTGTATTGTATGTGTATTGTATCTGTATTGTCGTATGTGTATTGTCGTATGTGTATTGTCGTATGTGTATTGTCATGTGTGTATTGTCATATATGTACTGTTATATGTGTATTGTCATATATGTATTGTTATAAGTGTATTGTCATATGTGTATTGTTATATGTGTGTTGTCATATGTGTATTGTTATATGTGTATTGTCATATGTGTATTGTTATATGTGTATTGTCATATGCATATTGATATATGTGTTTTGTCATATGTGTATTGTTATATGTGTATTGTTATATGTGTATTGTCATATGTGTATTGTTATATGTGTATTGTCATATGTGTATTGTTATATGTGTATTGTTATATGTGTATTGTTATAGGTGTATTGTTATATGTGTATTGTTATATGTGTATTGTTATATGTTTTTTTGTTATATGTGTATTGTCGTTTTAGGTGTATTGTCATATGTGTATTGTTATATGTGTATTGTTATAAGTGTATTGTCATATGTGTATTGTCATATGTGTATTGTTATAGGTGTATTGTCGTTTTAGGTGTATTGTCGTTTTAGGTGTATTGTCATATGTGAATTGTCATATGTGTATTGTTATATGTGTATTGTTATATGTGTATTGTCGTTTTAGGTGTATTGTCCTATGTGTATTGTCCTATGTGTATTGTCATACATGTATTGTCATATGTGTATTGTTATATGTGTATTGTTACATGTGTATTTTCATATGTGTATTGTCATATGTGTATTGTTATATGTGTATTGTTATATGTGTATTGTTATATGTGTATTGTCATATGTGTATTGTTATATGTGTATTGTCGTTTTAGGTCTATTGTCATATGTGAATTGTCATATGTGTATTGTTATATGTGTTTTGTTATATGTGTATTGTCATATGTGTATTGTTATATGTGTATTGTTATATGTGTATTGTCATATGTGTATTGTCATATGTGTATTGTTATAGGTGTATTGTCCTATGTGTATTGTCATACATGTATTGTCATATGTGTATTGTTATATGTGTGTTGTCATATATGTATTGTTATATGTGTATTGTCATATGTGTATTGTTATATGTGCATTGTCATATGCATATTGATATATGTGTATTGTCATATATGTATTGTTATATGTGTATTGTCATATTTGTATTGTTATAAGTGTATTGTCATATGTGTATTGTTATATGTGTATTGTTATAGGTGTATTGTTATATGTGTATTGTTATATGTGTATTGTTATATGTGTATTTGTTATATGTGTATTGTCGTTTTAGGTGTATTGTCATATGTGTATTGTTATATGTGTATTGTTATAAGTGTATTGTCATATGTGTATTGTCATATGTGTATTGTTATAGGTGTATTGTCGTTTTAGGTGTATTGTC